TGTTGTTGTTGTTGTTGTTGTTGTTGTTGTTGTTGTTGTTGTTGTTGTTTGCATTGGCTGTCTTTCTAACAACCCCTGGATGATTTTTCCATTGCCATTTTATGGAGAAATGGTGGGCCGCATTAAGAAATCAACACTATGTAGACAACACTACTTCTTTTATAAAGTTATATTGTTAGAATCCTGCAATTCTGAAATGTACCTCGCCACTCCTTCCTTTGTATGAACTAAGCCAAGGGGTTTATCTGAGACATTTACTCATATTGTATTCCTGCCCTGGGGTCAGGTTTCTTTTATCAAACTGTTGCTTGACAGAGGCTCTTCCTTCTGTTCCTCAAGGATAGTCCCTATTCTCTCTGCATCCTAAAGTTTCTTTCTCATCCCTTCCTCTTCGTCAGATCTAAGCAGGTGCTTGTGCACTTGCTCTCACATTTCTTCTTCAAGGTTATTTCAGTACTCCTCCACAGTAAAGGTGTTCTCCAATAAGAAATGATCTACATTCATTTGTCTTGCCTCCCATCAGCCTAACAAGCATTGCCGGAGTCTGGGAAATGGATGTACATTAGGAAATCTTTGTATTTCACAGTTAATGCATTGAGGCCAGAAGTTGTCTTTGCTATTTAATAATTGTTTGTCAGATAACTTCAATCTCAAACAAAGGAGGGAGCGAGGAGGCACACTTCAGACTTGCAGGATTCTAATATTATAACTTTACATAGAAGTGTTGATCTACATAATGTTGATTTCTTAGTTTTCTTTTAATTTTATCCTATATTATAAAGCAAAAGAAATTGTTGAAACTTACCGGAAGATTTGCCACCTCAATAATATCATTTGCTTTCTTCAAACTTTCACTGAATTGTGTTTTATATTGTTCAAAGGCTTCTATTAACTCTCTGAGATGCCCTGGAGTTTGAGTTTTGGTTTTATTTTTCAACATGTCGCTGTACATGGAAATCATCTGTGCAAGTAAAATCTTTTTTTCATTGGCCTGCCAGAAAATCAGAAAAAAGAAATATATTGGTGACATTTCTCCAGTTACAGAGATTTGAACAATTCAAATAAAAGGTGTCCAGCTTTTGGGGTGTTTTTTTCCCATTTTACCAGAAGTATCCTCACACTGTAACTGATATCTTTGGTAAAACTCAATGTCAAAACAATGGCTACCGGTAGTTGTTTCTGAAATCAAAGTGACGTCTTAGAGTATGTCCTGATGTATCTCCAAAATCGTGTCAGTGTGGTTGATAAAGTTCCATCCTTGACATATAAGTTGTATATAAAAAAATGTGAGCATTGTATAATTTAACAAAGCTGACAATATATTCCATGTTTTTATGTGTAGGGAAAATCTTCTATTGCCAAGTGTTTTGGAGTAATTGATATTTCATCTCAGGATTAGAGATAAAATATGTGTCCCCCCTCCACCAAACAAATGGAAGAAATTACCTCTGTCCATAGTCCACTCGAAAATCTACGTGTGAAAATAGATCCATTATCAGCTATGTCAGACTCACTGGTGTTCTGAAATGCAAGATACAAATAGCTCAATCCGCAATATAACATAATTGATTGTGAAAACTCTAGTTCAAATCCAAACTATGTATAGGACATTTTTAAAAACTACAGTAATAAATTCAGCTTAGAAAATGAAAGAAATGTTTTAGAACTAAGCACATGTTTGTCAACTTTGTTGTCTTCCTTTTAAATTAGAGGCAGGAAGAAATCATGGAATGATGTTTACTTCCCAAGCACAGCATATCAGTATAAGCAAAATAATGTATCACACCATATGCAGCTGTTTTAGTTTGTATTCCATAAGCATTACTAATGCTAAATTACTATATTGTTATTATTTAAAAATAGCAAAAAGTAGTAAATAGTAAGCATTAGACTCAGCAATTACATTCCATTGGTTCTCTTTCCATGAAAACTTATTTTCCAAGAATCAGAGAAGAAAATGCAGCACTAATTAATTCAATCTAGTTAAACAAAATTTACAGCTATAGCTACTTTGACAACACAAAGAAGGAGAAAGCCTTAAAATGCTAGTAGTACTGTAACATTAAATGAAGAATAGAGCTTAACCACTTCTTCTGCACTGAAATATGGTATTATTTTTAACATTAAAAAATTAAGATAAGTAGGTTGCATTTTCATCTGTGGAGTCAGTAAGTACTTTCATGAAAATATCCCTTCAGAGGTACCACTACTGTGTAATTACTGTATGTAATTGGTGATACATCATCAGCCAAATTTTAACACCAAAACCTGCTTTGGGTAAAGATATCAATTTGTTGATAATGACATGAATGAACTGTCAAGCTCAACACTTAAACTTTCATTTTCAAGGATCTTCTATAATTATAAATAAAAAACAAGAAAATTGTTTGACACTTTTTGAATGAAAGCTTTGGGAAAAATACATTTGCATGAGGATGTTTAACTTGTCATAGAACTATGAGAAGGCATTAGCCAACTTATATGTTCTAGTGTTAGTCAATGAAAAAGTTCTAGAGGTTGCTCATTCAAAATGAAATACCTCCGATTATGTAATTGAACAAGTAGACAATTCTACCCATTTTTCCAAAATAGTCAAATTCTAACTGAACGCCTAGAAAAAAAAATCATACATACGATTTTCTAACTTTGTCAGATGAATAAACAGTGATGTATATGTGAATTAGTAGTTATAATTGCTAAACCTTTTGTCAACAGAATCAGTAGTAAAAGCAAGTTCTAAATAATTGACCAAAAACTCAAAGAACTAAAATGTAATGTTTTCAAATTATTAAAAGTCTATATCAAGCCACATTATATTAAAGTTGGTAGTTGCACCAAATTATAGCTGTAGCTATGCTAGTATTCAACCAAAAGGAGAAAACAGACACTTAAAAGAAAGTTTGAAAGCATACTTACAAAATCTTTCTCTAGCTTCAGAATAGAATCTTTGATATGTTCAAAAATTGAACCAGTATTGGCATCAGAACAGGTACTCATTAGAATGAAAAAGAGACAAATCCTCCAAGCCATTATATCTAACCTAAGTAGAAAAACTACTTCGCTGCAGATCTGGAAACTAGAATCAGAGTAGTGTATCTACCAGTAACTTGACTGTCTACTTGCAAGTCTGATCTTCACCTCTCTGGGTGGTGATATATATACTCGATCACTGAACATTTTCAACCAAGCAGAATTACGTGTTTTAACACAACTCAGGAAATGGTATTAGAGAAGAGGTGTTTTGGTTTTTATTAGTAGGCCTGGTGTGGGATTTCACCATATGAGAGTTTCCTTTAAATGACAAGGCTCTTCTTGTATTGAATGTTACTTATCCAGCAATCAACTCTATAAGGATCCTTCGAAAGCATGACTACATCAGCAAAAGGCAGAAGAAAATTTCCCTTTCAAGCCCCATGGTCACCTCTTGAAAGAAAACCCCTTAGACTGTAACCTGATTTAGCATCTGTGTGGGGAAGGTACATGACAGGAAATTGGAATATGAGGAATAATGTTCAAAGAATGCATTTTAATCACTCAGATATACAAAGAAATCAACATCATGTCATTAATTGGTCAGTTTGATACATGCAGGGTATGTTATTTACTTATATAAACCCCTATCTTTAAAAGAAAAATACCAGAAGGATAAAGCCCCTTTTCCATAAATAATGTAATAATTATAGATATTGATAGGTTCATACCCTCTTTAACATATTTTTTTTATAAAATGAAGAAATAAGGACATGGTTGATATTTGGTTCTGTTAAGTCCTATAACAACCCTCCTGGAAACTGACCCAATGTAATTCCATAGCAGGTTTTTGCAATGTTGCTTTTCAGTGATGGGTAAGAGAAATAATGTGTCATTGTGCATTACTAATAACAATAACAACAACAACAACAACAAAAGAATTTAGCCAATACATTGGTATGCAGTTTGGAATTGACAAATGTGCAACAATGGCAACCAAAGCAGGCAAGGTCATAGAAGATGATGGNTTTTAACATTTTCTAATGGTGGTGTGCCTCGTGATTTTTTTCATGAAAAAAGTGTGCCTTTGCACAAAAAAGGTTGAAAAACACTGCTATAGCTTATCGAAGCCTCCGCAAGCCCCATTTGCTGCAAAGAGGTAAATTGCTGGGAGGCAGAGGCCAAAGGGTTGGGGCTAGTGGGTGGGTGGGGCTACATTCAGCGTATAAGACGCACCCAAATTTTCACCCTCTTTTAGTGGGGGGAAGGTGCATCTTATACTCTGAAAAATATGGTAACAATAAATATATTTTTGGCATACCACAAGTTTTATTTGTTTACAATTTAGATTTAGAAGGTCATACAACTCAGTAGTGCATCTCTTAAAGCAAGCCAGAGTGTAGAATAGTGGGCAAATAGAAGAGGCAGGAGGCTGATTCAGATAAAACTAACAGCTCTTTATTCGGTGAATAAGTACAATCCAGCAACTTTCCAGTCTGACAGCTTTCCCTTTTATAGGGAGCTATCAGACAGCCAACCAATGAGATTTAACCTTTTTTCCCACCGTAATGGTGCATGAAGCCTATGTACCTCGGCTTCACTCTCTTATTAATAGTTAACGCCGAGTACATTAAACTAAAAGAAAAAAAGATTGAACATTATCATAAGAGAGGAACAAACGTACCTCATTGACTAACCCACAAAGGTCAGTCTAGGTAGGAACTGTCACCCAACCTATCCCAGTTGGGAATTATTAATTACCTTTTAAGGGAAATTGGTATTTTTAGAGTTCAATAATACAGATCCCCTGAACTTTTGATTCCAGTTGACAGAAAATACCATTAAATTGTGCAAGGAGATTAAAATGCAGCATCTATAAAGATTAATTGAAGGGAGTTCTGACTATATAATTAACCATTTTTACCCATCAGGGCCTGCTCTAGATTAAGGCCAAATAGACACTAGCCTAGGGACACCAACTTTTAAGAGTACCAGAATTGAAAAGACTTCTGAAAAACAAATAAAAAAGCAAAAAGAAGTAGCAATGCATTCCATTAGCCTGTATGTTTGCTAGAGGATTAAATATAATTTCAAAGAATTGTTGCTATATGAAAGCAGTGGGTGATAATGTAATTAAAATGACTTATTGGGTAAAAAGGGTGAGTGTGTCAGAGAAAAGGGGGAAAAAAACATATCCAGGCTGAAAATCTGAAATGTTGCACTCAAAAATTGAAAAGAAAAAATAAAACAAGAGAGTGCCTTTTTCAGTGAACTTCCTTTTCATTTCAGGAAGTTCAAAACTTCAATCTAAGACTGAAGGAGGATGATTACTGTCTTCTCCTTCTCTTGGCCTTAGCATACTGTTTCTTGATCATCTCCCTTCCTCCAGAGAACTGTTTACAGCAGGGGTGTCAAACTTGATTTCATTGAGGGCCACCTCAGGGTTGTACTTGACCTTAGGGGGCGTGGCCATGGTGGGCATGGCCAGCTCGACATCACTTGTGTCAGGGGCACCTGTGGTGGCCCGGGCAGGGCTGAGGGCAGAGGTGGGTTCCTACTGGTTCGGACCGGTTCTGCTGAATAGGTAGTAACTCAGTCAGCCATGCCCCTGAATCAGTTCTATCGGCAGCACCATAGGTGCCACCATTTTGATTTTGCCTATGAGCATGTGCAGAAGCAATTTTTTTACTACTGTGCATGCGTGCATAGTATGCCTCAAACGTGTGCATATGCGAAGCTTGTCCCTAAGTAAGCCAGAAGTAACAGAAGCGAGAACCTACCCCTGGCTGGAGGGATCCTCCTGGAGTCCTCTGCCAGCGAAAATAGAGCTCAAGAAGGCCAAGTTAGCTTCATGTGCAGAATTAAAACAAACTAGAATTATTTTTGTTGTGTATATTCCAAACATCCATTTGAACAATGACATCTACAATTCATTTCTCTGACCTATATAACCAAAATTTACTAGACAGACATATTGCTTTTTACTTGGCATGGCTATAAATTTATATTTGAGGAAGATACAAGACTGTGTAAGCAATGGTTTGATTTAGTGAAATTAATATTTTGACAGAAGTGACAAATAATACTGGAGATTATTGCTTATTTCCAAGGAATATTGTTTAACTGTGAAACTTGTGATCTTTTCAGGATACAATTATTTATCAGCTGAAGAAGCGATATGGAGATTTACAAATTTATACTTATGTTGGAGATATTTTAATAGCATTAAACCCTTTCCAAAATCTCTGTATATATTCTCCACAGGTAAGAAAGAAGCTGGAATCCTGCTTTTTGAACTATTTATGCTGTATCAAGTGATCATATTGTTTTCCTAAAGGAAATAAATTAATAAATTTAATTATTTAATTAATAAATTAACAATAGCAATTGATGGAGGGTGCTTCTTAATCATGTATTTTTTAATAAAGAAGACTACGTAAGGGTAACAAATTGTATCAATACTTCCCTGGCCATAAATAATACATTTGAAGAAAAAGAAAGGGCATTGGAAGAGTATCTGAAGGGCACTGAAGAAGGTGCACTGAACGTACTGAAGGCTTTCCTGAATAAAAAAGTGTTAAAAACATTTAAAACAAAGAATGTGAAACAAAACAACACCAAAGAAGCAAAAGTGGCAGAGAAAATAAACCAGGATAGGAACACAGATGGGAACCCGTACCTAACGTTATGGCCGGTTCGGAGAACCTCCAACCTCTCACCTCTGGCTGGCCACGCCCCTCTCACCCCATCCCTCCCCTCCCACCTCTCCCCTCCCAGGAGTCTCCATGCATTCCATTTTGGATGCGAGGTAAGTGCAGGCCTGCATGGAGGCACGGGGAGGGGGAAAAGACGGGCCTCCTGGAAGTTCCAGAAGGCCAGAAACGGGCCCATAGAAGGCAGTTTTTGCCACCCTAGAGGCTTGAGGAAAGGCAAAAATGTCACACACACACAGACCCCGGTGCAGGGGGCTGACTAGGTCATGCCCACCATGGCCACGCCCACCCAGCAACTGGGCAGAGAACACATTGCTGAAGTTTTTGAAGCTCACACCTGGATAGGAACAAGGGAAAGAAAAAAAAGGAGCATAAATCAGCCTCACCAAAGGCGTGGGTGAAGAGGCACATCTGCAGGGTCTTTGGAACACCAGTAGAATGGGAACTATTTGAATCTTGAGGGTAACCTAATTCCAGAAGGCAAGTGACAAAAAAGTGCATTTTCAAGGACCCACCAGATGACACTGTTTAATTGAAGGAATCCAGAGTGCCTCTACCCTGCCAGACTAGCTGAGAAGATACTATGGTATCTGCTTTCTCTTAGCCATTCTTTATTTTCTTTAAAAACATTATATAGAAGGTATGTTGGGGGAAATATAAGGGCACAAGAAGGATGTGATTCAGTCTTTGCTATCTCCCGGTTAAAGAATGAAATAGAAACCTTTCTGGTTTTTTTGCAAAGTTATTGCCATTTGGAATAGGCATTTATCTACCTTGGCAAATAATTTGATCTAAGACAGCTTACTATGGATAGAAAGAAATCACATGTAGGAGTTAGTGGTTCTGCCTCTTTGTGTTTTGATATGTATTTTTTAGATGCCTGGCTCATATGCAGTGTTTTGACAAGTATGATTTTGTATTTAGTTTTCCAAGCTTTATCATGGTGTGAAGCGTTCCTCCAACCCACCCCACATATTTGCAACCGCAGATGCTGCTTACCAAGGCATGATTACTTTTAATAAAGACCAGGTAGGAAAATAGTTTTTTAAAATACTTACAATTATGTTATGCATGACATAAGAAAATGCTGCATTTTTTTAAAAAAAAATTGGGATTGATTAAACTTGGTCAAATGTGCTGTATAGAATTTAATGAGTTTTTGAATCATGAAAGTCATAACTGTGTTTAAACATAACCTGGTAATAGAAATTACCATGTAAGATTCTTAATAAAGTATATTTTAAAATATAATAGATTGGTTTTAATGTTAATCCTATCTAGAATTGAACCACTGAAATCAAAGGCAATTATAATCATGATTAGTTTACATTTCAGTGATTAATTGGGACTGTTACGATTAAATCTGTATCAAAATCATCCATGAATATAAAAATACAAGCAGTCCTCACTTAGCGACCATTTATTCAGCAATTGTTCAAAGTTATGATGGTGCTGAATAAGGAGACTTCTGGCAAGTTGTGCTTGTCTCAGAATCCCAATGGTTATGATCTTTTCATCGTTCCTATCACCCATCTCCTCCCACTTATGACTGTAGGACTGTAACTTTGTGGCTTGTATCTTTACGATATATATTGATATTGTTTCCTGATTGCTCATTTGTACCCTATGACTATCATTAAGTGCTGTACCTTATGATTCTTAACAAATGTAACTNCCCCCCCCCCAATGTCTAGAAACCCAAAGGGGGGGCAGAGCTACAGCCGCCCTCCCTCTTTGGAGGTGCTGCCCAGCCTGGTGGACCCTGTGGCTGAGCAGCTTCTTTGAGGGGGGGGGGACAGAAGGGGGCCCTCTGGATAGCGGCTCAGGAGAGGAGAGGGAAGGCCTTCAGAGCGGGGAGGGGGTGCTGGTGGCCCTGCTTGCTTTCGGCTGCTCTCCTCCTCCCTCCAGACCCCTGAAGGAGCTGCGGAAATGAGAAGCTAGCTGCCCTTTCCCACCCGACAGGAGACCCCCCTGCCCATGGGGAGCCGAGGGGGAGGGAGAGACTTGGATGGGAAGGAATGCCCTTCCGTGGGGATTGGGCACAAGGAGAGCACCCGGGCAGCCTGACTGGCCTTTCCACGGCTTAATTAATAACAGAATGTGTATATATATTGATGGAAGCCTCTATTAACCCCAATTGAGGCACCGCAATCATTAAAAGGCGCCTGGGAGCAAGACAGCTTCAGAGGCATCCAGGGCACCCTGGCGCTGGAGCCGGTTAATCAATGACCTCTCCCTGTTCTTGGCCAGCCCACGCAGGAGCCAAGACACCCGTCGCCGCCAAGAGGAAGAGGTGCGTGAGTGTGTGCGGTGTTCCCTCCCATCGCCTCTTCTCTCCCACAGCACCCCCCCCTCCTCGCTCTGTTTCTCCGGCTGCTTCCAAGGGAGGACCAAAAGGAGGGCTCACCCAGAGAATGGGCACGGCTGAATGGGGAGGGGGCTTGGTGGGGGCCAGAATTAAACCCACGGGGGAAGGAGGGAGGGCCAAACAGGAAGACCTCCGTTGCCCAAGACAGCAGCCCAGATGGTGGGGCTGGAGCGGTGGGGACAGGCTGTAGGGGGGAGGGGAAAGCTGCCCCACAGTCCGAAGGGGGCCTGGCAGAGGAGGGGGCAGGGCTGCTCACAGCTGCTGTGGGACAAGGGGAAACAAGGACAGGCTTGAGTTGGGCTTCCCGTCTTCAAGAATGGGGCTGACCGGATGGCCCTCTGTGATGCAGAGCTCCTGACCTGGGTGGGCTTGATGAGAAATCCTCCAAGGGTCCCTCATTTAACCTTTTTAGATACTTTTGGCCCAGATGACGGAGGCTCCATTTACATATGGCTTCTNCCTAAAGGGCTACCTCTCTATTTGGAAATTTTAAATTTATCAGACTTGAACATTCTGATTCTACAAAAAACAACCCTACTTGGAACATAACCATAACCATAACCGGATCATAAAATAAAATAATAAAACCATGTTCTTTTGCATTGCTACCCTTTCAGTCTTTGGCTGTAGTGTCAGTTGAAAAGCCTTCCAGCTGTAGCATTCTTGGCAAGAGTCTTTCAGATTGAATTCTGTTGATCCCACAATGTATTCCAAAGATACTGTACCTAATCTGGAAGATTTTCAGCCAACTGAAAGGAAAAAAGATTAAGAGCCTATAGCACCAGCTCAAAGCAATTTGAGGGAATGTGAATTCATTTGTCAGTGTGACTTTATTAATTGTCTTTATTTAGAGAAGAACATCTCCTTGCCCAAATGGCAGAATTTTTTTAAAATGAAAGCAAACCTAGCTCTGTAATATAAAATACCATATATTTCTTTCTATCAGACGTACTTTTTTCTTCTTCTAGGTGGAATAGAAAAACCTCAAAGAGGACTTTTCTTTGTATGCTATCATTAATTGCTTCACCACAGGGGCAATATGGTATAACTGTAAGGGCAATCATTTCTACCTCTCTTTTGCCTATAGCCTTTTCCCTGTTAAGTCTCCTTTCCAAGAAATCAGGAAAATGAGAATCTTGCAAAATTGCCTTTCCATGCTGGGAAAAAAGCCCAGATGGCAAAGCATGTGATTGGGGTAGCACAGATGAGAGCTGTATGTGGCCAGGAAGGATGAATCAGAGAGCAGAAGGAGGAAAGAAACAAAAAAACCACCCCTGGTTGTTCAAAGAGCTGGATGCGTTCCAAACTTTAAAAAAGAAAGAAAGCTTATATGTCCTTCTTGGAGCTAACTTGAAATAGATTTAAATAAAAGGTCTTAATAACATCATTAAAACCCTTTTTCCAGATGATAATTCTCCAATAAAGGGACATTCTAGCAAGCTTAAAAGCTACATTTAACCTTACTAACGTAGAATGAATGACATTTCCTTTTTAATGGCATATGAAATATATAAAGTGAATCATTACAAAAATTGTTGTTAGAATGATTACCACAAAAACTGATTCACAGGAACCTAGGTATTTCAGTAAAGTAAGAAATACATAAAAAGTATATATTTGAAAAAGTTGGTTATGAATTAAAAATGCCTGGGATAAGTTTCATTAAAACAGAATTTAGTAGGGAAAAGTGTATACCAAACTATTAATTACTCAGAACACCTTCCTTCTTTCCTTCCTTCCTCCCTCACTCCCTCCTTCCCTCCCTTTCTTCCTTCTTTTTTCAGAAATACAAATCAAACTGAATATAGTAAATCACTGAGGAGGTAATATGGATTGAACATAAATGAATGTATATATGAATAAGATGAGTTACTTTACTCATAATAATAATAAACTAAGCTAAACTAAGTGTTTTTAATAGGAAGCATAAATATCCTATTACCCTTTTCTAATAATAGATGAAGTACATTTATTGTTATATGCTCTGTGCACAGTCACTCATGCCCTCATCCTTTCTCGCCTGGACTACTGTAACGCTCTCTACATGGGGCTGCCCTTGAGGAGCACCTGGAAGCTTCAACTGGTCCAGAATGCGACTGTGCGGGTTGTCATGGGGGCACCTAGGTGCTCCCATGTTACACCCCTTTTAGGCGGCCTGCACTGGTTGCCGGTTGTCTTCCGGGTGCAATTCAAGGTACTAATTATGACCTTTAAAGCGCTCCATGGCTTAGGCCCAGGGTACCTGCGAGACCACCTACTGCCACCGGTAGCCTCCCATTGTCCAGTGTGATCCCACAGAGTTGGCCTCCTCAGGATGCCGACGGCCAGACAGTGTCGGCTAGTGACCCCCAGGGGGAGAGCCTTCTCTGTGGGAGCGCCCTCCCTCTGGAATGAGTTGCCCCCAGAGCTTCGTATAATCCCGACCTCCGGTCCTTCTGACGTGCCCTAAAAAGTTGGCTTTTCCAGCAAGCCAGCCTGGCCTGAACAAAACAAAATAAATTATTGATCACTGTTAATTTTAATTCGAATATTTTTAAAAAATGTATTGTCAATTTTAATTGGGTTTGGGATATTCCATTTAATTTTCTTTAACTTTTATATTATGTGTTTCTTTTAATTGTTGTACGCCGCCCTGAGTCCTTGGGAGAAGGGCGGCATATAAATCTAATAAATCTCAATCTCTCAATATGTAGATGTTGACATGGAAGCTTAGCAGAGTTACGATAACTTAGCATTGTCTTACCTTTTACAATTACAATATGGTTCAAATCAACTGGCTTTCATTTCATTTATGCATTCAAGTTTAATTATTAACAAGATACATTTAATTTGGACCAGCCTATTATCAGAGAACCTACCAGTAAATGTATCCACTTTGCAGCTACTGTATGTTGACTTGAGTGAGGACATATTGAACATTAGGATTCATAGCACTCATTGTTTCTACAGTGAAAAAAAGTTTGTGTCCAAATAGTTTGTGTGTATGTAAACTAGTTATGTTAGAGAAGTACTTATGTTGAAGTGTACAAAACAAAACAAAACAAACAAAAAACCTTGTAAAAAGCATGGATACAATATATATAAATTAGAAGAAATGTGGGCTTTTTAATGCAGAATTGTTAGACAAAAATTGTAAAGGAGCTTTATGAAAATTGATAGATTACCTCATGCTGACCTCAGATAGTTTTATAAAGTTGTGCACTGCCCTTCAGCAGTGTTGAAAAATAATTGTTTTTACTTTTACTTCATCATTTCAAAAATGTAAGCATAAATTTTGTGAAAAAGACAAGCACATTTTAAGCCATTTTTAACTTTGCTACTATTTTCTAAACTTTTCCACAGAGAATATGATCATGTGATATAAGACAACTTCTCTTTTAAGCAGTGATAGCACTCTAATCTGTTCACTGAACAATATAATTACTCCAACATTTAGTAACCATTTAGGTGACAAGCAGGGGAACTTTTTAAAAGGGAGAATAGTTAAGAATTATTTCCTGATGCTCGACTCAGTTTAATGTCTAAAATAATATTGTTTTCAGGTCAGGGTGGAAACAAACAAACTGTCTAGATATTCCCTTTAGAGTGCTCTTTCATTTTCCAGAGTTTTCAGAGGATAAAAACAGTTATTCAGATTTAGCTTCCGAGCACTTTCAAATCGTGAAAACAGAGTGGTCATTGTGTGTTCTTTTGCCCATTGTTATTATAACAAAGAAAGGAAAGAATGCAAAGCAATCCCACACTAAATTTTGTTCTGTTCCTTCCAGATTTTGGAGAGTTATTCTATTAGAAACTAACAACAAAAACAGAAAGGCAAAGGGCAGACAGAATCCTGAGCCCCATAATTTGTTTCAACATTCTGTTGGGTTGAAGAAAATAAAAAAAATAGGGATTATTTAACATCCATGAGATGTATAGTTCTTTGTAGGTATCAACAATGCAAGTGTGGTTATTAGTTGTCCAAAAGAAAGAATTATGTCCTTCTGGACCATCTCTGGTTTGGAAATGGGAGGCATAGTGTCATGGTAGATTGTTTTTCTTCCTTTCAACAAGGCTGATTTCAGACCATGTATTTGGAGGAAAGGGGTGAAGTCCTAATGCCCTCTGTTATGGATTGCTTCGGGGGTCCACTCACTCTCTCCTCTATCATTAAGATGAAGCTACTGAGAAATTCACCTATCAACACAGACTCAAATGCCATCAGTATGATAATGATATCTGATCATACCCATATCAATCTCAGGACCAGAAATGGTATTCAGCAGGTTCTGACCAGTTCTGGAGTGGAAATTTTGAATAGTTCAAAGAACTGGTAAATACCATGTCTGGCTGGCCCCACCCCCATCTGTTCTCTGCCTCCTGAGTCCTAGCTGATCAGAAGGAAATGGGGATTTTGCAGTAACCTTCCCCTGGAGTGGGGAGGGAATGGAGATTTTACAGTATCCTTTCCCTGCATGCCCACCAAGCCATGCTCACCAAGCCACACCCACCAAGCCACACCATGCTCACCAAGTCACACCCACAGAACCGGTAGTAAAAAAATTTGAATCCCACCACTGCTCAAGACACATGGTCAGTGTGTTTTTTCCAGTGTTGAAAGGTGTTAGATGGGGTGGGGGAGAATAAATGCAAGTTCCATCCATGTAAAATGGATTCAGAGACCATGTGAGTCCAGGGATATTCCATTATTGGTTTGGGGTGAAGTCAGACTTCCTCATTTTGAATTGATTCAAAGAACAAGTAGCAGCAGATAGCAGCTGTGGCCCAGAGAGTATTTTATGGTATCTGTTATATCTTTTCCTAGACTAGAAGGCAGTGACGTGCAGTGAGGTTTATGGCTGGTGAGGCAGCATTTTTTTTAGACTTGTGGACTTCAACTCCCAGAATTCCACAGCCAGGCATGCTCAGTTCCGATTTAAAGTGACAGCATTTGTTTTTCTAAACTTATTTGCTAAATAAGTTTCCTTCTTTCTTTTTCTTTTTCTTCTCCTTTCCCTTCTTCCTCCCTCTCTCCCTCCCTCCCCCTTCTCTCAAACACACACACACACAGACACACACACACACAGACACACAAAGTTGCACCAGGATTCAGAAAATTTAGGTTTTGCTCCTCAGCCCATGTTAGCAATACCACTAGCAGCATTTTGGCTGGCAGGTATAAGTAGAAGTTAAAATTCATTCTACAGGAAACATTGTTTTTGCTTATGCTTGGATAATTAAAATTTCAGAAGACCCAAAGTCATAGTATTAGAGTGTTACATAGTGCATAAACTAAAGAACTGTCTCAATATGCTCCTTCCCCCCCTCTCAAACACACACACACACACACACACACACACAAAGTTGTACAAGGAGGATGAAGTTTGAATTCATCCCCCTCCTTCCGACCCACACGTACACGTACCTTTTCCAGCTGTTTCAGAGAGGATTTCAACTCTCCTCTTGCCTGCCATCATGAAAAGAAAAAAAAATGTAAACGGAAAAAGGCGAGAGCTGAGGTAGGCTGAGCTAGTTGCTGCCAGAGTCACTGTGTGGTTGACTCTGCTTAATTGTTTAAAAAAGCCTGTAAAAAATACCCTCTACAGGAGGCAGGAGAACGATGTGCCTCATCTACGGCAGGAATTTTTCGACTTTTAACCCTTGCTTAGTTCTGCTCGAGTGATCATAAAGTCAGACTAGATGAGGC